ATGAGCTTTTAGAGGTCAGAAAGCCTGAAAACCAGAGGTTTGTCTTGTCACTTGCTGCTCTAACGGAACACCCACAAATATTTAACAAGTTGCCTGGAGAAGAGAAGGCTCCAGGGAGACCTTGGAGTCCCCTCCAGTGCCTAAAGTGGCTCCAAGAGAGCTGGAGAGGGACTTTGGACAGGGGTCGGGAGCGAGAGGACAAGGGGAATGGCTTTAAAGTGAAGGAGGGTAGATTTGGATTAGATATTAGGAAGAAATTCTTTGCTCTGAGGGTGGTGAGGGACTGGCACAGGTTGTCCAGAGAAGCTGTGGCTGCCCCATCCCTGGAAGTGTTCAAGGGCAGCTCGGATGGAGCTTGGAGCAACCTGGGATAGTGGAAGGTGTCCCTGCCCATGGCAGGGGGTGGAACGAGATGGGCTTTATGGTCCCTTCCAACCCAAACCAGTCTGTGATTCTATGATTCTACGATTCCACTACAGCCAAATAGATGGTGCAGGGAGTAGGATGAAGGAGAAATATTCCTGCAAGCTCTTGAGTCTCCAAGGCTCGTGGAATAATTGCATTGCCATCGCTGAGCTTCAGGAGCCGGCAGCCTCCGCAGGAGATGCCGTAGCCCAGCTGTGCACAGGGGCTGCAGGAAATGAAACACAGAATAGCTGGATGGAGAGTTTTAGATCCTAATTGCCCAGGGATTTGGTGTGCTTCCTCTGCTAGGAACTGACAGTAATTAGGGGCTTGCCTCGCCGTGTTGGATGTTTGGCACGGAGGAGAGAGCTGTGCTCCTGAATTAACCCGGTGCCAAATCAGTAGCTGCCCATGGGGGGCTGTGGGGAGGAGGGGGTGCTGCAGCTGGGGAACAGGTGCCCCTGGCAGAAGGGGCACAAAGTGCAGGAGAGCCTGAGCCAGCCTTCCTCCCTTGCCAGCACAAAGAGTTCATAGTGCCTGATCCGCCAGGAAACAGCCCCGAGAAACGCCCAAAACCTGGAGGCAGAGCAAGTGATCCGACTGGATCTGAAATACTCAGCAGAGAACTTCCTAAAATCCACTGGCAAGTGGTGGGGGGCTCAACCCTACAGTCTGGTTAAATTGGGGCACTGATCATGTTTGCAAGCAAGAATTGGGTCTGGGAGGGCCTGAGGGCTGGCTGTGATCTGTTGGTCCCCAAATTTTGGGAGCAGTTGCTGTAATCTGACATCTATGTACAGATTGTGTGAACAGAGCAGTGACATTGTTTTCCTTTCTCTCCCAAGCCTGGAGGTTTTTCCTTCGTCCTGAAGTGGAAGAGATAGTACTAGTTTATTTTTATACTGTTATTGTTGCTTATACAATAATCTTACAGTCGAGCCCGGGCAGTGGAAGATGGAAGTCTTCCAAATTAAAATTGGGATGTCCAAAAAATTTTGATCCAGGGCTTAATGCCTAACCTTGAGTTAATAATTCTTTTCCATCGGTAGCACTTTTCCTCTGAAGTGCCTTAAAAACATCAGCAAGAAGGGCTTCCCCAGCCCCACAATAGAAGGAAGTGCTATCGGCTCCATTTTGGAGCCTGACACAGACGCGCCTCGGGAGTCGGTGCCAGAGCTTGGGACAGAGGCCGGATAATGTTGCAACTCCCACATAAACCAGCCCAGTTCCTGTCAGAGGCCACTGGTTTGGGTCCTGGTTCCCTTGCTGCTCCAGCAGGGAAAGCTGGAGGTGTGTGATGCTCCAGAGGGGCTCAGCTGGAGGTGATGGGGCTGATTCCTGCCTTCTCTGGTCAGGGCTGAGATCAGCTGTTCTCGCTTCTTGGTGTCTCCTGCTGCAGCTTCACTGAGACTCAAAGAAAATATGGCTTTTTTGAGGTGGTGCCAGCACGTGCCCTGGGGGGTGGTGGCAGGAGCATTGGGGTGTTTGCAGGCAGCTGGATGCCACCAAGCCCCCTGTGGAAGCATTTCTGAGGGATGCTCGGGGAGGGAGGGGGGCAGCCTCACTCGCTCAGCCCGTGGCTTGGTGGGAAAAAAAACCCTGCAGCAAATATTGAGCACAAGAACTGGGTCACTGTGAGTTTTGCCCTGTAGGAAATATGCTGGAAAGCCCAGCTCAGCAGCAGAACACTGAGATGAAAGTGAAGAAAGGCAGGAGCTCGGAGGGCTGGAGGATGGAGATGAGGGGGATGCTCAAAGACCCACATGTATGAGCCTGTATGTGCTCAGAGTCCAGTTATTAACTGAACATATAAAGTCTGAATCTGCAGGTCCTGACTCCATCAGATTCACCCAAATTGATTCCTAAACCAGAAAACTGGCTTAGAGTTTGCAAAAGCCTGCCTGCATTTACCCACTCCATGTTATTGACCAAGAGGGAAAGCCTGGAGACTGTGGCAGAGGAGCAGAGATGGGTGATCTGTAGGTGCTCCAGTGCTGGCTGTGTGGGTTTGTATTTATTCAGCCAAGTGCTGATTTTGGAGTGGAGGAAAGACACAAAGTGCCGGGTTTCCCACAGCACCCAGTTCCTGGGCCCACCACGGTCGATGGGACATTTATTGCTGACATCAATGCAGAAAAATCAGTGTCTTGTGAAAAGTTTTTTGCTCAATTTGCCAAATGTAAATTGATAGTATATTTTTTTAATGAGTCACCCAAGTGTGGATAATTTTTCTTAAATCCCTGAAGTCACGTGCATATAAATTAATTGCGTTTTGCAACGATTTCCAGACCTTCAGGGGGTGCAGGGGAGAAACCTGAGGGTGTGATCCTGCCTGTTGCCCTTTGGCTGTGTGCTTAGAGGCAAATTAGAAGCTCTGAAAAGTTATTTGTTTTGAATCTCATGATTTTCAAGAACCTTGCCCCTGACGGCTGAGTGTTTGGGGTTAGTTACGCTGAGAAAACATCCTGAACTTGGGCTCCTGACCCCGCTTTGAGTGTTTTGCTTTTCAGACCCAGAAGGTTCCCAGGAGAGGAGAAAGGAAACTGACTGGCTATTTTTAAACCCTTGCAGTTGCCTTCCTGCCTTATATTATTTATTATCCATTATCAGAAGTGTTTTTCCCCTGAAACCATCGTTAGTGGTCAACCAAGGGACCGGTGAAAATTGCCCATCAAACAGAGCTGCATCTTTCTGTAGAGGTCACACGAAGCTGGAGGGTTTTGCCAAAGTGAAAGTGAGTGGTGCTGTTGTTTGTGATGTGCACTAGAGCAGTGCCTGGTGATGGGCCATGATTACACTGCCCTAGGGCTCAAACACCAAAGCAGAATCTCCCTCCCAAATACTGTATAGCCCAGAGAGGCAACACTGATGCCTGCTGGAGAACTGGGCATGTTTTGGCATGTCCTGAGCCAAGTGATGCACGCCACTGATGAGTTTGGTAGCACATCTGGCAGCATCACGTGGTTCCTGCACGGCGTGTCAGTGGGTCTGAGGACACCTCTGCACGGAGCATCATCACATCCTTCTGCAGCAGAGAAAGCTCCAGTGACCTGGGTGGGGATCAGGGCTGGATCTCTGCTGTGTTAAAACCTGTGTCACCCCCCAAAGAGCATCCCAGAGGTGCTGGGCTGCCATGGGCACTGCAAGGCTCTGCTGTTGGGCTGGCTCCCCTTTCCCAGGCTGTCCGGGAAGTCCCCTTTGACCCTCTTTGGCTCCAGATAAGCAGGACAATAGCCCGTGTTGTCCTGGCTCATCTTCCTGCCTGGTAAACTTTCCAGTTTGAAGCCTGTCACATCCCTGGCAGCTTTGTTAATCCTTTCCTGCCTGGGCAGGAGCTGCGGGTGCCCTGGGAAGAGCTGGACGTGTGAGCCTTGGCTCCATGTTCTCATTGGAAATAAAGCCGCAGGGCTGGAAGGCCCTGGGAGGCTGATGTTATTTCAGCTGTGGAGGGAGCTGAGGCATAAAAGTCCGGGTTTTGGCGGTGTCAGCAGCGACTGCCCGGACCCTGTGATGCAGTTTCTCGGCAGCGTGTGAGGAGGGAAGGGGAAGAGCAGGGGAGGGCAGGAGCACACTGTGCTCAGCGCAGGGCGATGATGAATGACAAACAGTTTTCCCCGTTTCTCTTTGCGTCTGAAAACAAAATTATGTTGCAGGGGTTCAGCATCATCTCAGAGGCTCGGGGGTTCTCTAAAGTGGGATCTGCAGCCCTGCTGTCCCCCAGGCCTGTTTTGCTTTCCCTGAGTCCCTGCTGGGCTGAGCTCAGGTGCCCTGGTGCTTGGGGGGCCTGGCACGGGGAAGGGGTCAGACCCTGCTCCTGGCACCGACTCGCTGCGGGGCCTCGGTCACATCCCTTCATCTCCCGGGGGACACTGCCTGCCTGTCCTGCCGCCACCGCGTCACCCCATAAAGCCCAGCTGTGGCCAGCGAGGGGCTGGGCAGCGCTCTGAGCGCTGCTGGCGGGGGCTGAGCTCATGGGCTGAGATAAAACTTGTCTGTTCGGATGAAAACACGTGCTCCTAAATATTCATGCGCTTGCATCTAGTACTTTTTTTCTTTGGGTGGTGGTGCGTGAACCCCAGGTGCTTTACGATCCTCCTCCAGGGCCGCTGTCACCTGTGCGACTTCGCTCCCTCCCACCCCCGTTAACACCCCGGTGTTTCCTCCGGCCAGCACCGCCCACGCATCCCCCCCCCGAGCATCAGCCCCGCTCCCGCCGCCCCTTTTTGTGGCCTCGGGGGTTTTCACGCGTCCCGTTTCCCCGTCCCCCCTCCCCGCGGGGGCCGAGCCGAGCCGGGCCGGCCCCCGGGGCGGGCGGAGGCTGCGGGAGGAAATCCAGTGCCTGGTTTACAGCCTCGCCGGCCCCGCCGTGACATCAGCCCGCTGGCTCGGCGCGGGGGCGGTTGCGGGCTCCCGGCGCCTGCCCCGCTGCTGCGGGAGCTCCCGCACGGCACCGCACGGCACCGCCGCGGCTCTCCCCGCCCGCCGCCTCCGGACACCCCCCGGCTGCCCCGGGCATCCCCCCCAGCTCCCCGCTGCGGCTCCCCGGGCAGCCCGGGGGTCTGGCGGGGCCGGCGGCGGGGCGCGGGGCCGGGGATGCGGTGGAGCTGCCCATGGTGAGCCGCCGCCGCGCCCCGCAGCACCATGTCCCCGCCGGCCCCGAGAGGATGTTCGAGGGCTGCCGGCGGGCGCGGAGCCTCTGGGGCGGCGTCAGGCTGGAGGTGGCCGGCGAGAGCAGCCCCGTGGTGCTGCACAGCTTCACGCAGCTCGACCCCGACCTGCCCCCGCTGGAGGTGAGTGCGGGATGCGGGTGGGGATGGGGCGTCGCTGCTGCCGGGAGTTTGCGGGGGGGAGGAGGAAGAAGGCTCAGCCTGCGGCGAAGCGGGCCCTGGTGCACTCCCCTCTTTAGTTTGGGGTTCTCTGCCTTGCTGGCAGAGCTGGTCCGGAGTTTGGTGAGGGAATTCGTTGTAGGCAGCCTGTTACACGTAGGATGTTTTATAGAATTCTGTTTTGTAGAATCACGGAGTGGTTTGGGTTGGGAGGGACCTTAAAGGCTCATCTCGTTTCAACCCCCTGCCATGGGCAGAGAAACCTTCCACTAGCCCAGGTTGCTCTGAGCCCCATCCAACCTGGCCTTGGACACTTCCAGGGATGGGGCAACCACAGCTTCTCTGGAAACATGGGAAAGGGCCCCACCGCCCTTACAGGGAAGAATTTTTTCCTAATATCTAATCTAAATCTACCCTCCTTCATCTTAAAGCTATTTTCCCTGTCCTATCATTGCACGTCCTTTCTAAACTCCCTCTCCAGACTTCTTGTAGGCCCCTTTAGCTACTTTTGTGTGTTTCATTTTACTAAATAAAGGGATGCTCCTGCTTAGCTTTTTTTGTGGTGAGTCTCTGTGCCCTAGACTGGCAGGCAGCTGCTGGGCTCTGCTGGGAGAAACCAGACACTCTCCCTCCAGCCACCCAGGGAAAGGGGCAGATGGTTAAAACTGGGGGCTTTTAATATTTTATTTGAGACTTTGGCGGCAGGAGGCAGCTCAGATCTGAGCTGCTTGTAAAAGCCTTCAGGCTTGTCCAAACCACAAAAGTGTCCTCTGGGAAGGTTACGGGCACTGGGAGGACTTTCCTGGAGGATGTAGAATATTTGTGCTTGTTTGAATTCGACCTCGGGTTGTTCAAAGTCAGAATGGTCCCTGTGAGGCCCAGGTGGTTTATTGATGGCAGTTGTATGCAAAGGCACCCAAAATAATCTGAGTCAGGGCTGGGCCTTTTATCTTAGTAATGGATGATCGTCATCGGTGTGATGGGAGTGTCACTGTCGGGGAGCAAACGGTGTGTCAGGAGAGGCTCAGCTGGAGGAAGGTTTTGGCATCCAGAAGTCCCAGCCCTGTATGCTGGTGGTGCAGGGGTTAATATCAGCAAGGGTCAGCAAGTCTGGCTTTGCTGGGATTTAGAGCCAGCTGCAGATGTGCTGCTCTAGATGCTTCCCACTGGAATGGGGGTGGTGGAGGGGGGGGAATCACCACTAAAGCCTCTTTAGTTACTGTGCAGATATCTGCCAAGGGCAGCCAGTGTTTTGAGGGGCAATGGCTCCTTCTCCCAGTGCCAAACAATCTACCCCATAACCTGTGATGGGAAGTCTTGGTCAGCCTTGGACAGGAAGGGATGACCTCAGGCTCTGGCTGTATCGGTTCACCTCTGGCCTGGTGGCAGCAGCTCATCAGCTCTGCCGAGAGTTCAGGAAAGCTCCATCCAGCTTATTTTTCCCCCCTCTCCCCTCCCTGCTGCTCTCTCCTGGGGGTGGGCGTACTGACATGGTTTGGAGAACATCATCTGGTTCGTGTTATGCCTGGCAGGAAGTCCAGCCTCGCCGGCCCGCAGCGCTCCGGGAGGCTGAGGGGCCGCGCTTTTGGCAGGGAGAACAAGAGGAGGGGGGAGGAAAAGAGGGGGTGATGCAGCGTGTGCTGCTCCTCTCATCCCAGGGGAGAGCCTGCCTGGCACATGCAGCCCCCACACACCCCAGCAAGCCCCTGTGCATCCTGGCTGGCGGAGGCTCTGGAGGTCAGGAGAGGGTTTGGCATCATCTTGGGGGCTGTGAAGGAAAAGTGACCAGGGCCGAGGGAGGCTTTGCTTGGCCCCCACTGGCACTGAGCAAACCCCTGCTCACCCGAGCATGGCACAGAGACAGGACTGCCAGCCAGACCTGCTCTGAAGTTGTCTTTGCCCAGATTTCTGTTCTGGGCTGTACACGATCTGTGCTGTGTAATGGTCAGATCACAGTCCCAGCATCTGATGGCTCAGGCTTTCCTCCCAGCCCTGAACAACTTGCAGACAAATTCCTCCTTTCTCTGTTCCATCCATTTGCAAGTGATGGCAAGAAAAGGGGCATCCCAGAGGGGTGTATGGTGATCCATGGCCTCCTGAGCAGCTTTGGGATGCTCAGAGAGCTGATAAACCTTCAGCATGTTCGGTTCACAACTGGGGAAAGGAAAAAAGTGTCAGCGTTGTGACAACTGTGGTGGCAGGAACCTGGCGTGGTTGTGATCCTCGGGTAGAGTTACTCTGCAGGATGCATGCTGAGAGGAGAAGGCAGATTATTTGAACAGGAAAACCTCCAGAGACCATCAGTGTTTTTGCCAAGCCCTGATGATGGCCCCGGGTCTGCAGTGGGAGCCTGGTGCTGCCACCTCTGCCAGAGGGATCTGTGCTCCGCGGGCTCACCGTGTTCCCAGCACTGGGACAGAGCTGGTTTCGGCAGAGCTGTGCCAACTCGTGGGTGGACAGTCTGGTCCCACAGGGAATAGAGGATCCCTGGAAAGCTGCTGGGCAGGTTGCAGGGAATGTGGATCTCGTTCTCTGCTCCTCGCTGGGCCCCTGTGGATGTCAGCAGGGAAGACTTTGCCTGTATCCCGCGGCAACGGTATCGATCACCAGGCATCACTGGAGGCTTCCTGGCCACCTGAGCCAAGTGTTCTTGCCGTGATTTTAACCACAGGGGATGGAAAATTTAAACTGTCTCAACTGCTCTGATTGACAGAGCAGCTTTGCAGACCTTTTGTTTTGACCTTTCCAGTTCCAGTCCATCCCAAATCAGCAGTGAGTGTCAATCCTTCCTGTCCAGCAGGAGCCACAAAGCGAATTTTGTGGCCCTTCTCCTGGTCCCGCTGGCCAAGCATGCCCTAAACACCACTGCAGATGACACAGACTGAAACTCTCATGAAGCTGATGTTGCTGAGCCTCTAGACAAGGCTGGGCTGACGCTTATAAAAAAGCTCCTGTCCTTGCTGTTCTGGCTCTGTTTGTTTTCTGAACAATTAGATTTTCAGCTGCTAAATGCATCCTTGAAAACTTGAATGGCTCAGCCCAAATGCCTTGGAGGTCAGTGCTTGTTCTTTACAGCTGGGAGGGAGGGGCGAAGATATCTCTTAAAAGCCATTTTCTTTTAGCTTCCTATGGTGCCTTTGGAATAAGATCCTTTTCTCCCAGCCTGTTCTCCTCCCCCAGGCACAACCTGATATGTCCCTTGCAATTTGCCTGATGAACATCATCTGTTGGTATTTCTTGGATGGGGACCTACCTTCTGGCTCACTTCCAGGGAGGTTTGGAGCCGGAGGTGAGGCCGGGAGCAGGCTGAGATGCTGGTTGTTGGTGGCTGATGCACAGTGGGAATAACAGAGGTGGGAGGGATTTTTTTATTATTATTTGATATGGTCGGAGAGAAGTTGGAGAGAGGCTTCTAAATGTGTTTGTGTAAGAATTGTGTTACTCAGAGGCTGCTATGCCATGTTTCCATAGGGCTGGGAATCCCCATGCTGGGATCTCGCTGAGGTTTTAGTGGATTTAGTCCCAGACTGGCAACCCTGGAAACTGAAATCTTTGCTTATTCACAGGCTGAATGGGACACCCCCCACACCCTCCCCAGGCCACTCCTGTGCATTGGAATTGCTCCCAGGGCTCCCTGCAGTGGGGGAGGCAGGAGGTCCTGTGCTGCAGCTTGGGGTGCTTCAAGCCCCCCCAGATCACACTATTGCTCCACTCCAGCCCTCTGTTTCATGGCTATTAGGGTGGGATCAACAGGCAGGAGCAACTAAATGCAGTCTTGGAGTATTTCCCTGCTTCCCTGTGCCTGGCTTTGGGGTGTGATGAGCAAAAGGAGCATCAGGCTGGCCATGCCTGCAGGGATGGGTCTTGCTCAGCCGGAACCCACCACTGTGTGAGAGCTGGGCTGGCTGTGACCACCCCACAATTAGGGCCAGAGCATGACCTGCTTTTAGGGCCACCGTGGTCGGTCTGGCTGTAGGAAGGGCTTCACCACCAGCGTCTCCTCCATCACCCTTCCGAGCTCTCTAATTGCCATCCGCTGTGTCCCCCAGGGGTGTGTAACTGAAGGAACAGAGAGCTTATTTAGGTCACTCTAGACCACATTTAAAGGCTGGGTATCCCCTGCTCACACTTTCTCTAAGGCCGTTATCTCCAGAGCTGCCTAATGACCGGCTTTCAAGCAGGCATGTTCCTTTTATTTAAATATATCCTTGCAGCAGGGCTGTTTCAGTTCTCAAATATTTCTTCATCTCCCACGGACTCAGCAAGAGGGGGGAAAAAAATGTGGTTGCTAAGGAGCAGGATTTGGATACAAAGCTGGCTGAGCTGCTGGCGGGGGGCCCGAGGGGCTCCGGCACAGCTCGTGGCAGGTCGGAGTCTCTGCATTGCTTTGGTGGGACGGCACCTGTGGGGTCTTGGTGAGGGGGTTTTTGGGGTTTGAAACATTTCTCAGGCCTTGGGGAGAAAGAGTTTGAGTTTTAGTACTTGTACCTTCCCCAGATCCATGCGTTCATCCCGTGCTGTTAGTGTGCACAGCGCTGGGTTAGATCCCAGGGCAGCATCCCTGGCTGTTCCTGAATGTGTGCCTTTGCTCCAGGGGTCTGTGGGACCTTCGTTCTGCAGAGAGAAGCACCTGTGGGCTGAAAGGTGGGGCTGGCACGAGGGCTCTTAGGAGGGGGGACATGTTAAGCATCACTCTGAAACTGTGTGGCAGCCTCTGGCTGCAGCATGTGCCTGCCTGGGAAACCCAGCAGCAAGGGAAGGACTTTGATGTTTGGATACGTCAGTTGTCTCATTCCCCATGTTTGGATACTTGAGTTGTCAGTTTGTCTCATTCCCCGTGTGGGGACTCACCTGCCCGTCGCAGCAGCCCCAGCCCTCCTGGCTCACGCACCCCCAGTAAAAATGCATTTGGACTTTGCTCCTGAGTCATTAGGGGAAGGGAGCTCTGGCATGGAGCACTAATC